CTGAATGATGAACTGTCATCCAATAACTTTTGATGTGTTTGATTGAACCTGAGCACACAGAGTATAATGCTGCATCCTTCATTTTGTTTTTGTGAAATCTGCCACTGCCGGTGTGCCAAGTCCACTGGCAGCCATACCCGCCCAAGCCATATCAGAGCCACCACGTTTGACAGATATTATGCTTTGGGATATGAGCTGCTCCTTTTTTCTCCACAACACATGAGCTCTTCAATCTCCCAGGTCATTTATCAGGTTCTAGTTTCTTGTGTGCATCTGCTTTTTAGAATGTACCCAACTTGATTTTGGCAAAACGACTACCTTTAAAAACTCTGATAGGTTTTATCTTTATTTCCTTATTACTATTGTCTTCACTTGCCTCATATTGACAGATTAATTGTAGATGTGGAGGCAATACCACTCAGTAGTGATGTACACAATTTCTATTTCCATGTTTAATGTCAGCATTTTAGAGGCCTAAAGAGATCAAATTTAGCTGAAGTGTCATTTCAGTTTTAAGAGACAGCATGAATGAATATGTCTTAGTCAACTTGTATATACACTGCACTTCCACCACAATAACTGCTAAAACAACAGTTGAGACAAAGTGAGGACCTACAACTAGAGGACACAAATTTTTCAGTGACATGTGGTCCTGAGCAGCAGAGCATGCTGGGACATCTTTGCAGACTGGTTTCAGCCTAACACACTCGTGGCTTGTTTTTACAGGGCTTAACATGTAGAAAGCTATCTCCGGTGCAAAGGGGGAGCGGTGGATTAAAAAAAGTGAGGGGAAAGAGAGAGCGAGCATGAAGAAAAGAGCTGACTTCCGCACAGCAAAGACTTAAAGAGACCTCCGCTTCTACATGATCTGTTTGTTGTCATTTGATCCCAGTTGATGTTCTCTCTCTCTCTCTCTCTCTCTCTCTCTCGGTCTTCCTGTCCCTCTCTCTCACTCACAGGAAACAGAAGGATCCATGTACACAAGGCCTCTGACAACAGGTTCACTTGTTTCCCTTCCTTTCTGGGTCAATAAAATGCTATTTGTTTCTCCTCACACTTCCTGTATTGTGGACACAATGTACTAAACTGTAAATAGCTTTCATTTCCATGACACATAACCAGCTAATGTCCCTCACAGTCTTTTAGTCCAATAAGCCACAGAAAGCAACAAAAGAGTGCTTTTAACCAAAACCCAGCTGCTGTGGTCATTTTCCAGGAAAAGCTAATCAACTGTGTTCAGTACTGGATGCAGTATCAGACAGGAAAAGGTTCCAATTCCATGTCAAAAACCTGAAATGCTTGCAGGGTGACTTGCTTTTTGCCTATAAAGACTTGCAGTCTGA